AGTTAGCGATGACTCCTACGTTTAGCAGACGGCTTAAGGAACACAGTGAAATCATCGACCGTATACATTAAACAACGCTACCTCTTCCTCAATTACTGAGTAGTTCGCTAACTGCCAAAAAATAGATCTGTGACTAATGTATAAGAATAATGTTGTTGTTGTTATTTTAGATGTGTTCTACGTATATCAGGCGACTGTAGTGTCACAGAATGCCCTTGTACCATGACTATCAAGATCAGGAAAACCATAGTTTACCTCTTATAATTACATTGTACTAGTATTCGAGGCTCCAGGTCAGGAAGCATTATTTTAAGGCATTATTATGAAGTTTTATAGCTCATAAATGTGCGTAGAGTCTAATATTTTGCAAGTTTTAGTACCTAGATGAAAAAAATTAATAACACATTTGACGTTTTTTTATTCCCCGCGTCAGGTAAATAATACACTTATATTGCTATTATTTAAACGTAAATTGGTGTGCTAATTACAAACCTTCATCAACTGGAAGATATCGACTGTTGCATAAAAGCGTGCCTCCTAATTCTTTCCAAAATCATGTGCAATATTTATCGCCAGATCCTGAGCTTTATTTTTAACTGGTCACTCTTGTGTGTTTAGTTAGGTGACCGTGAATTAGGCCCACTGAGGACGTCACACAGTGATTCATCGTAATTAAACTGACGTCTAAGCTAATTGAATCGACGCTTGACCTTACAAATATGTCAATGTTTTTATAGAATCATATTGCAAACAGTGGCTTTATATTTAAATTCTTCCCAAAGCGTTCTCGCTATTTATTATCTTAACCAAACTCCACTTGGGAGCAAAGACAGGGAGCCACACATTTTTTTATTTTCATTTTGTGATAAATATTTTCTGATTAACATAACATACTATCACGCCTTTTTATCCCCGAAGGGATAGGCAGCGGTGCACATTATGGCACTTAATGACACTGTAGCTATACAATGTTACACCCACTTTTCACTACCTATTTATGTTATGAGTCCCATGTAATAGGGTGTGAGCGTATTGCCATATTATATCGGGAACAATTCCAGGCTCCGTGCTACTACGTTTAACTAATGTTTTATTAATTGGTATCAAGCCGTATAAAAGGCAATTTGGTTACCTTTAAAATGAGAGTATTTTGTTGTAAAATGGAATATTTTTATAAAAGTTATAGACGGTTCGATAAAATGAAAAAAAAACGCTAGTGGCTCCGTTTCTATGCTCCCAGGTGTCAGCCATGATAGTCCACTGCTTAACTATATTTTATTTTTTTGAATCAATAATAAAAGAAAGAAAGAAAAATAATTTATTTTCCACCAGGCACGGACCACCAAATATACACACATAAAATAACATTGAAAAACAAAAAAAAACAAAAAAACATAAAATAACATAAAAAAACAGCAGTTAAAAAAGCAATAAACACAAAAAACATTATAAATAAACAAAATAAAAAGAAGCATAATAATAATGTAAGCATTATCTATCTGAGGTTTACTGTAATCTCCGCGTTTGCTATGCAGGTTAGAGGTCGCAGGTCAAAAGGTCAAAGTCTATCTGCGCTGATGTCTGGTGTCCTTTTCTCTATTAAATGTGCAGTCCTTTGATCAGCTCTTAGCTCTTACAACATCTGCAAGGAATGAAAATGTCCTGGCAAATTTGGTCTGATGCAACTACACCGCACCTTCTAAATTCCCAGCCACTTCATTATAGACCCTATTTCTGGTGTTTGCAGACTGCTTTTGTATGAACAAATTTCATGGATATTTCGTACTCGTGGGTTTAGTGACAGTGTATAGGGAGATTAAGAATTAAAGGATGATTTTTTTAAGGGATAAGCTGGTAAACGAGCAGACGGATCACCTGATGGTAAACAATCGGCGTCGCCCATGGATACCCGGAGCAGTAGAGGCGATAACCTCACTCACACGACGAAATCCAACGCAAGCATTGTTTCACGTCGGTTTTCTGTGAGGCCGTGGTATCACTCCGGTCGAGCCGGCCCATTCGTGCCGACGCATGGCTCCCCCACACTTAAATATAATAAATGAAACAAACTTAATATATCGTATTACATAGACACAACGTCGGGTTAATTTTTTTAGCGGTTCAGGTACTAACGAACGTACGTCACATTCATTAATTTTTTTACGTTTAACGATCCTAAAAGACCAGTTTTCTTAAAAATCGTTAAAAAACCTGCTTCTAATATTAATGGGTTGTTTTAAAACTGTTCGAGTATTTCGATGAATAAATAAATTAGATCGACTTAGGTAAGGTTAGGGTTTTTTTTAAACTGTGTCATTTTGATAGCCCTTTAGCTTATTTTTGATAAAAAAAGTAATGAAAGAGGCCTTCATCTTTTATAGAGCTAAAAACAGGTTAAGCCACTTACGTATACCGATTGCTCCTTCTACCACTAAAAAACTTAACAAAAACCTGACACGTGTTCAGAATGTAATAATACCTAGTAGTCATCGTAGGTATTTGGCTTGTGAATAATTTTATGGAAATAGTAATATATTACAATAGTGATGGATCAAAGAAAACCGAACTGTTCGAAAAGTATAAGAATAAATTAAGTGCAGACTGAACAAAATAATAGGTGGTAAGGAAAATGGGGAAAAGAAAAAGGTTTAAAAGGTACTAAGAGCCAAGACAAAGACAAAGTAATCTATATCTATACTAATATTATAAAGAAGAAAGATTTGTACCTATTTTTGTATGTTTGTAATGAATAGGCTCAAAAAGTACTGGGCTGATTTAAAAAATTCTTTCACCAATAGAATGCTACATTCTTCCAATTTGACATAGACCACATTTCATTTTGAAAAAAATTAGGGCTCCTTGGTAAAATTTGAACAATGTAACGGAAGGTGTAGAAATATGAGTCTTAAACTTAGAACAAAATAATGTACAACAATATTGAAGAACATCTTAATGTCTAGAAAAAACTCCGCGGTAGCATATGTCCAACTATTGTAGTTATGTCACTACAACAATCCAAATTTCCAAAAATAAATAATTGTCTACCCCGTGCGAAGCCGGGACGGGCTGCTAGTTTAGAATAAAAGAAAAATAAGTAATGAAAAGGTAAAGTTCTGCAGAGAAGATGATTAGTATGATTCATTTTTTGATGTTAATCATGAGCTAAGGAGATTTTATACGTTTAAATCAGTTTAGGCGTTTATAAGTTATATTGAAACAAACGAACATACGTACAGAAATTAACAAAACTTAACAGTATGTAAACAGTTTCAACAATATAGGAAACAATGTCGATTACACTGGTTAAACTAAGTATATTCAATCACTTGAGATAACAATGCCTGATTTTCACTCATTAGGGTTATTTTCTTCATGATATAAAAGAAGAATTACTTCCTCATACTTTTCAGTGCTCACTGTGAACGAAGCTGTATTTTCTTCAGCTGTTCTTGGTAAGTTAATATTATAAAATTTTCGTATTAAAAATTTTTTTTTTGTCACTGGAAAAATTCTTGGGGTGTACCTCTATTTCGATTTACCTTAATTAAATGAGACTTCTACAATGGCAAAACATTGCTTTTATACTTTTGATATCTATGAATACCTTTCCAAGTCCCATCGCAAAACAAAAGTATAATTAACTTAATAGAGTCATATTTTGTGAGTTAACCTGTAGTACATGTGGAAAATCACAATCATCCTGTACACAATCTATTAGCAGTACATTAAGTAGCGGTATATTGCGGAATAAATATTTCAACACGAGTAGTGTGATTGCTTTGAAAATTAAGTTAGGAGCAATGAGAAACCAAACAGTACCTTTCTAATAGGTACTTATAACCAACCCGATCAAGCGAAATTGAAATTTTCACGAAAATTTTCTTATTTGTCTCGATTCTGAAGTAGACGAACAGGTTATCCGGGGCTATAATATAATCAGTACTATGTGGCTATCTCAAAGTAATAAAATGATACTGGATATATGAATCTTACAAAGCATACAATTGCTCTTAAAGATAAGTTAGGGGCTGCATTACGGTACAATGTCTTTAAGAATATAGGTAAGAAACAGCCTTCATATTTCAGGAATGATGAAGAAGTCATTTATAACAATGATGCTTCTAATATACTTGACCATTCAGAGCAATGCTACGGAGACATCCACGTACACGACAAGGTATGATGGAATTGATCTGGATGAGATACTTAGCAACGACCGTCTGCTGACTGGATATGTCAACTGTCTGATGGATCTTGGTCCTTGCACGGCTGATGGAAAAGAGTTGAAAAGTAGGTATAATTATTTTAGGTCATACAAGTACTTCTTGTTTGTGTCATTTGTAAAATAGTCCTTTGCGACTATTTATTTAACACAAAACGTTGGCAGCGCCTTCTTATTTGTAGTCGCTTTGAATTCATGTTTAGCGTCTTTAACTACAATTTCATGAGTGGATAGGTATTAATTTTTCTTCTATAATAAAATTACCTAGTTCCATACCTAACTTAGTCTTAAAATGCTCTTAATTTATTCATTTCGTTTCGTTCAACTTCAAACTCCATTTTACTACAGATACTAAATCAGTTACCTCTTCTTTCTGTTTACTCCACAAATCCAAGTGGACCTAGATACTTCTTTCCATACTTTTATATTTGTCTGTCTGTACAGAGAACCTTCCGGAGGCTATAGAGAATGATTGTAAGAAGTGTACTGAGAGACAGCGTGAGGGTGCTGACCGTGTCTGTCATTACCTCATCGACAATAGACCCGAAGAATGGACCAAACTAGAGGAGAAGTAAGCTTATTTTTAATTTAAATAGGAACAATTAATAATGGTAAATTGTTAATATAAAAAAAAAACTAAATAACAATTTTAAAGTCATTAAGTTTTTACCTAATAAACAGTGCGTTTCTTTTTATTACCCACAAAGTGAAGCCAATGTTCGTAGTATGTCCATTAATAAGGACCTACAAGTTAATAACAATACTTATCCTTTTACAGATACAAATCGGATGGAAGTTATAGAGCTAAATATTTAGCTAGCAAGGAAGCCAAAGATGAGAAGGCATCAAATGTCACAAATTCCAGTGAAGATACAAATAATGTTTCTACAGAATAAATCTGACAGAAACCACCTGACGACGATGGACCAGCAACTCACAAAGGATTAGATGATAATAATTTTAATATGGATGCCGCTAGTATTCCTAAATAAATTTTGAGCACAGCTCTTTGTCTCTCAATTAGTCTGAAGTCTGAATCTTTATCATTCGCTTAAAAAATTGATCCACTGATAAAAAAGATTTAGAATTGATATGAATTGAATCTTCTTCACACTGTTCTTTTTAATTTATTTTGTTATGTTTATCTTCATCACATTGTATTGTACACTCCTGTGAAAAACTACCTCTTTCTTCATAAACAGCTTGCACATCTCCACTATTTTTCTGATAATTTTTATTTTGTCTTCTGTTGAAGACATAACAGTTTCAAGCAAGTTAGTATAAACTCCAAATAAAACAAAAACCTTCAATTGACATGGTTTACTTCCATAAAATACCACTAAATACATATTTAAATGAGTACTTAGTCTATTGACTATATTAATAACTATTTATGGTATCTTTTCGGCAACATATCGTTTAACTCTAACCTGCACTCCAGGCATAATGTAACTATTGCTGGGTGACCGTATTACATCTTCTGGTTCACCTACATCTTTCAAACGAATCTCTTCACGTTTTTTAGGTTGTTCTCTTGGTTTTATTTGAAGTGCAGATCTATAACAATACAGGTTGAATTATCATAATTTTATTTCATACAATTCCAGTTCAAATGTAATAATAGCTACTGAAGCGATTCTTTAGTCATTGTTTATACCCTTGAAGAGTAAACTTTATCATTTTAATGTACAGTTTCAGAAAGAAATTTATTGTAATACCTATAGGTGGTGTTATACATACATATAAATAATAAAAATATGTTGGAAAGTATACATACTAATAGTGCCATATTTACATAATCTCATTCTGATTATTCTTCTATCCTAGTATCCTTTGAACTTTTTTGATTCCGTCGTACCTGGTGAGGAAAACTTTCCAAGCGACGGGATCATGAGCCATCATGGACGCAATCACTTTCCCAGCTTGATCCTTCTGCTGTACTGAACATTTCACGCAGTCATCTTTTACAGCTTGTATCAATACACCTGTGGAATGATGTATAGTTTTTATCCTCAATATTATTTCTTCACCTGTCTACTAAATAATTATCGTAATAAATAAATAAGTAGAGGGCTATACTCGGAGTCTCTTTGAAGAATCAAATTCAAAACGAGGTGATCCAACGGAGAAGTAAAGTTATCGACATACCCTAAAATATTGATAAGCTGAAATCATAGTGAGCCGGCTACGTTTGTCGAAGAACCAACGACGTTGGGGTAGACGTGTTCTGAAGTGAAGACCACGTCTAGGCAAACGTAGTGCAGGGAGCCCTCCAGCTAGGTAGAGTCACGATATCCGCAAGGTGGCTGGCAGGGGTTAGATGCGTAAAACTAAAGATCGAACTCAAGGGCGTGACTTTGGAGAGGCCTACGACCAGCAATGGACGGAAACTAAATAAGGACTCAGGCAACTTATAAGTGGAATACTACGAGAAGGGTATAAAAAAAATAAGTGTTCTGCTAAAATATGGACTGCCCCACTCTTCGTGATAAGTGTTATATTTATGAACAATTCAATAATCTTACTTTTCATCAGTCCCATCTCCTTGCTACAGTACCGATCCACAGACATCAAGCACTTGACATCTTGCGCTGGTAAGGGCTTAATAGCCTCATTTAAATGTACTCTCTTCTTAAAAGCATTGCCTTTTTCGGCTTCACTGACCACTTGGTTGATGATGGTCATATCTTCATCGCCGTAAATGATCTTGAATCCTCTACTCTCTACACCCTCGCTCATTTCTCTCACGAACCCAGGCATTTCCTGATCTCCCATCACCACATGTACAACAATCAAGTACGGAATCGCTTGAGCCCACATTATGACTGAGACCATTAATAGCTCTCAGCTCAATGATGAACTCTATCTAGTCAATGACAGCATTAACAATGGAGGTAAGATCAGTGTTTAGCAAGTTTACGTGTTATGCTCGATAGAATTATGCTTTCAATACCATTAGGGTTGTCAAAGGAATGCATGAATGAATGAATACAATTATCGCGATAATTAAGAATTTCTACTTAATGACTGGTCATTGCGTCTGGACGCAGACTATTCAAAGTACAAATACAGGAAGGTCAAAGGATTTTTTTAACTTTCCTTATTACATATTTTTAGCGAGCAAGGAGTCTTCTTAGTTACAAATTAAAGTAATTTTTTTTTCCCGCAGACGAGTATGTTCCGTACAGATTATTTAACAGTTCGTAAATAGGTAGCCAATCAAGTGCTAGATTGTGGTATCAGAAAAGGTAGGATGATTTGATGACACTTTGAATGATAATAATTATGATTTTCCGTGTAAATTCTAGAAACAGACAGGTGTCCTGCTAAAATAAGGTAAGTAGGTACGATTTTTTTAGCCGTAAGTCTTCGATAGCCATCGTAGAACTTTTGAAGTTAATCATATCGAAAACTCCATTGACTCTTTCAAAGACTACACCTGTCTAACATTTGTAATGTGGCCTATTAAGCTAACTACAATAGGCTAGCTTCCTAAATTTTATTTTAATGTCCGTCTGGTAGAATTATTTTAAAGCATTAGACATGTATTTTTTCTTTTCTCACAAAATTAAATGCTTTTGACGATATATTGATTTCAAATGTCGCGTGACGTCACAGGGTGCTACAAAATGTACCACGTTATAACGTAACTACCTCCCACTCCTAAACTTAACGCCATTTTATTAAAGTATTGTAACTTTATATGAGAAAATAAAAAAATACGTGTGTAATATTTCTTCATTATCTAACTGACGGACTAATCAGATTTTGAATTTTCTTACCCTGGAAACTACCCTATTAGGAGGTTACCTAATGCCAATCAAAAGGTTCATTCAAGAAGTAAATGAGATTATATTAGAACGTATCAACCCTACGCTGGTTTGTGTGTATTCGGGGCGCGTATGAAACAACATCAACAAACAACCTTCGACTGGCCAGCATACCAATTCTGAATGTAAATATTATACCACAGATGTTGTTTTAAACAGCCAAATTGTTTACCTATTATTTTTGGTAATTGAGCATATTGATCCCTTTATTAATTGCGGTTATATCTGTTATAACTGTCACCAGCTGGGATCTATATAGGTAGTCAGGTCATAAATAAGTATGCATACCTATTACATCATACGTAGCTGAATGCAGTTTATTTACTAACATGAACTGTATATTATTATATTTATGCTAGCTAGTCTGTAAGGTTTCTGTCATTCTATGGGCCATAGTTGCCTGATAATAAAGGTATAAATAAATAAAAAAATGTAATAAAGTAAACACTAAGTTGTATAATAGACCCCTGCCTACAATAGATTGAGAGTATTGTTACGCCATCATAATGTGTATTATACATATGATCGCGTATATTATATTAGCTCATACATTGTATGCGCTTGGAAAAATATCAGATTGGTCCTAATATCGTGCCCTGTGGAAGCCCTTGTAGGACTTTTTTTTAATATAGGTGCGGTTATATTATTGTATGCAATGTTCGGTTGAATCCGTAGATAGCATTCAATTTGCAACAGACGTCTTCCAGAAATACAATTTTTTTATTTATAGATGATAATAATATTGGTTGTCAGAGTATGTAAGTTCAGGATGTAGTTCGTTAACAAACTATTAGTTCGTCGTCGTTCGCCCATATTCACGAACCTTAATCCCAGGGACTGAATAACCGAAAAATTACGATACCTTTAAATTGCGGTATGACGTCATACCTTTAAATAAAGGTTACCGCTTAATTTCGGTATCGAAATTTAATTTCGGTACCGTTATTTTTGGGTATGAAATGAAAACCGGTATATTTCGGTACCGGTACCCTAACCTGAATAATAAAGATATGAGAGAGATATTGACCGCGCTAGTTTATCTATCCTATTTCATCGCATTGCATTAGTTTGGCGTGTTTTCTGGACATGCGTCAATCACATGCGTCTCACGTTATAGGTATTTTATGGTGTGCTGAGTTGAATTGGGATAACAATGTCAAATAACGCACGAAAATTTATAATAATAGAAACAAGTAAGTATATGTACTTATGTAATCTTATAATAACATATTTCTAGTTGACACGTTGACGTCACGAGTACTAAGTACTGGTATCTTACCTACTCGTTGTCGACGCGTACGGCACGCGGCGGCGATGTAACGCCAGTAGACACGCTCACACACAGACGCTGCGTGCGTATTATTTTACACTATATTATTACACTTTTTATGTTATTAGCTCATTACTATAGTTTATTATAACGTAGTGTGTTATAATATTTTTTTACCTTATAGGTATATATGTTTACGACATTTTTGTCAAAAATTGGTTAAATGCCTAAAGTTTTTTATTTCTACCGCGGTGGGCGCGGATTTCCAGAATTCTTGTTTTGATTGAAAAGGTATACTCCCGAGATGGTCCTTTTCATTGAGGTCAGGATCTGATAATGGAAGCCTAGGAAAAAACCGAGGAGAACTTTCGAAAATTGTAGGGGCAAGTAATATGTCTATTGTTATTCAATTAGGATTTTTAAATACTTACTACAATTTGAAAAGGGTCTGGAGCCGACAGACAGTCAAAGGAACTCTTCAACGGTTTATATTAACTACCTTGTGTTTGGGTTTGATTGATTTGTATTGATGAGAACTGTACACCTAGATGGAGTAGGACTATCATTAAGGGTCTGATGATGAAGAACTGTAATTGTTAAGAGAACTCGTCAACGGTTTATAGTAACTACCTAGTGTTTGGGCTTGTATAATTTGTATTGATTAGAACTTTGCACCTATGTGAATTATAAGTGGCAAAATGATAAAAAAACTGCGTTTAAAAAAAAGACATCATAAATTAAAAAAACTAATAGCAAACAAAAAGTAAAAACTAAAAAGCAAAAAATAACTATTTCATAAAAAATAACTATCAGTACTGATAGGTAACCCACCCACTGACATAAATTGTTTTATTGAATGCGAATTTAAACATTGGGCTTCTCTCTGAGTGACGGAAGTTAATGAAATTATGTTTCTAAAAGCTAACTCGTCCATCATGGAGAATGGTCTACCATGTACAGTCACCAAATTGATACATTGGGTTTTTAAATAATTAATTCTATTGCTATAAGGAGCAGGGTCACCAGATGTGCTTGTACTAGCCCCTTCGTCGGTATTAACATTTTCTTTATTTGTGATATCAGTCATCAAACGGTTCCTCTCAGTTAAAGCTTTTTGGTCCCTGGCCAAGGCGGTTGAATCGAACTTCTGTCGCTCCTCACTTTCTCCGCTCCTGAGGTCTGACGGGACGCTGGCTCACACTGCGGTAGAGAAAGCAAATCTATTTGCTTCTCTATTTGCGGAGTCTTCGCGTCTTGACACTGGTGGCGCCTTGCCTCCTTCTGTTAATAGCGTATGCAAGACGAATATGTCGCAAATTCGCATTCGACAGAGGGAGGTATATAGGACGCTACGCGATCTGGACGTGAACAAGGCCAGTGGTCCCGACGGAATCCCAGCCCTGGTTTTAAAAACCTGTGCGCCTGAGTTGTCTCCAATCTTGACACGTCTGTTTCGCCTTTCCTTAGAGACGGGTCTAGTACAGGTTGCATGGAAGCTGGCCAACGTACAACCTGTGCCTAAAAAAGGTAGTCGTGCCGACCCTAACAATTACCGCCCTATTTCGGTCACGTCCATACTCTGCAAGAGCATGGAACGTGTACTTAACAATAGGCTCCTGGCATACCTTGAAGGTAACGATCTCCTCAGCGATCGGCAATACGGGTTTCGACGTAACCGATCGACTGGGGACCTTCTTGCGTATGCCACTCACATATGGAGCGAGGCCATAGAGGGGCACGGAGAGGCACTAGCAGTCTCCCTCGATATTTCGAAGGCCTTTGACAGGGTATGGCACGACAGTCTGATCGGCAAGCTTCCTGCATGTGGACTTCCTACTGGTCTGTGCAGGTGGATAGCAGACTTTCTGAGGGATCGGTCAATACGAGTAGTCATCGATGGCTGCTCGTCTGACCAATTCGGTATTAATGCCGGCGTCCCTCAGGGGTCAGTACTTTCAGCGACGCTCTTTTTGCTGCACATAAACGACCTGCTTAGGCCCGGTATCTTTGGGTATGCAGATGACAGCACAGTTGTTGAAAGGTATGTGTCCGGTGCGCGGACTAGCGGAACACAGATCCAGTCTTTAAGAGAATCCATGGTCGAACGTTTGAACTCGACCTTGAAGGCGGTGTCCGACTGGGGTGACGCCAACTTGGTTAGGTTCAATGCTAGCAAGACCCAGGCGTGTCTATTCTCCGCCAAACGGAGTCAATTTCTGCTGACTCCTACTTTCCGGAATGTACCCGTACCGATAACCGATCGTCTTGAGCTTCTTGGTGTAACTCTGACGCCCACACTCAACTTTGGCTCCTATATAGAGTCAAAAGCTCAACTGGCTGGTAGGAAGTTGGGTGTCCTATGGAGGGTGAGACGGTACTTCACGCCGAGACAATTGCTGAGCCTGTACCAAGCACAGGTTCGGTCCTGTATGAAGTACTGCTCTCATCTTTGGGACGGCTCGGCAAAATATCAGCTGGACGCGTTAGAGCACATTGAGAGGCGTGCCAGGAGGCTCATCGACGATGATGCGCTTGTGAAGGCTCGGCTTCAAAGCCTCGAACACAGGCGTAAGGTTGCAAGCCTTTCGGTTTTCTACCGGATACATTTCGGGGAGTGTGCGGGGGAATTGCACAACTTGATTCCCCCTAGTCCTTTCCATCATCGTACCACAAGACAATCCGCGAAGCGTCACCGATTCATGGTAGATGTTCCGCCCACACGCACGAAGCGCTTCGCTTCAAGCTTCCTTGTGCGTACTGCTAAAGAGTGGAATTCTTTGCCAGAGTCTGTATTTCCTGAAGGGTATAACCTGGGAGTCTTCAAGGCCCGAGTGAATAGGTTGCTTATGGGACGACGTGCTCCAACGTAGACCGCATCATCGCTTACCATCAGGTGAGATAGTGGTCAAACGTCGACCCATCAATTTATAAAAAAAAAAAAACATCAAATCAATTTCAATAATTAACGAATCAACTAAAATAAAAATATGTACGTCGAGCGAGCGAGGCGAGTCGTCCCGAGTAGGTAATTGTCAGCGCGGACGCCGGGGCTCCGGTAGCGGCCGGTCTGTGTGTAGGTATAGGTAAGGGTGTGTTTACAAAACATGCGGAGGCTTAAGGCCGTATATATATACGAATGTGGAAAAGATTTTGTGTGGTACCTATGGTATGAATGTGGGATTATTTATTTCTATATAAATATATTATAATATTACAGCTATATCTGTGGTCTGTGACATGCTTCACCTTTTTTATAATATGCGATAATAATTATTTTAAATGTGCAGTTATGATGAAGTCGGTAAAAATAATCTCGTACCTAATCGATCACGATTACGATCTGGAATACTAACTAATAATAATTGTAGTTAAAATTACAAGGTACCTAATCCTATTCATCTTATGAACATATAAATATACCTAGTAAGTAATCAAAGTTTAGGTAAGTACCTAACCTAACGAACGATACCCAATGACTGGTTTTTCGTAGGTATATATAGCCCCATAGTTAATAGTTACATGACTATTATATAGTTATTAGATAGATACGGTACACACAAATCTTACAACAGTAGCGTAGTTGCAGCAGTGACACGAATAAACAGGTTTACAGGCGCGCGTTTTTCGCTTGCCGCTGCTTCGCTCCGAGGCGTGGGGCCCCTCGCACCACACCCCGCACACCCCTAGCTTTACGTCCCGCAACGGTCAAATCTAAGTTTTTCGGTACCGTTATCGCATAAAGGTTAAATACCGGTATAGCTTTAATTTCGGTACACTTATTTTATACCGGTACCGTACCGTTATACCTTAACCGCTTTCAGTCCCTGCTTAATCCTATCCTAGCGTCTCCTCAAGAAAACTTATTTTACAATAATAAATACTTAGTATACACGCCACAAGAAATAAAAAACCAAATATATGATTTAAAATTTATTTTCACTTCTTCAATAACCCCTCCATAATCTTAGACGCTACAGACATATCAACTTTATTGTTGCTCTTAGATAATATTCCTAAAAGTGCTTTAAATACTTTGGTTTTACCACTTTTATATTGTTTCACCAACTTAGGATTATTTTCTAAGACTTCAATACATAGTTTTGTTAGTTCGTCCTCATTGGATTGAAGTTTCCATCCCTTTTCTTCGACTACATCTAAAGGAGATACATCATCATCAGATATAACGATCAGTTCATCTAGAACGTTTCTACAAATTTCTAAATTAATGTCTTTACTCAAAAGCATGTCAGTCAGTTCTTTCAGTTGCTTAACAGTAAGGGGACAATCATCTGCACTTAGCTTCCTTTTATTAAGTACGGTCAAAAGATCATTGATTAAAAAGTTTGCTACTTTATTTGGATTCCTGGTTTTGTCTGAAGTTAAATTTTGGAAATAGTCTAGTAGTGTTGGTTCATTGACTAGTTGGATTGATGTCTCTGGTCGGAGTCCAAAGTCTTCGATGAGTTTTTTTCTGGATTGTTCTGGAAGTTCTGGTATCTTGCCCTGTATTAGAGGTACGCTTAGTACGTCTCTGTGTTCTATGTCGGTCTTCAAGTTGACACGTAACGGTGGCAGATTCGGTTCCGGCATGTACCTGAAGAAGGAGAAATATTAATTAGCAAGTGCGTTCACATTAATTAAATAGAATAATGACTTGATAGCAGCTTTAACGTAAACAGTCAAATGTTAATTAAGTGACAGAAATAGCTTCGCTTCATTGTTTACTGTGTAGTTATAAATCGACAATTTGTGTTAGTGGGTTTTCCGTGACAACAATTTCAAAGTGCGTGCTAGCACTATCACACACCAGTACTGTTCCTCTATTCTAAAATATCTAAGTCTAACATAATTCTAGTCTAACATAATAGCCCAAAGTAGAATTTAAAATAAATATCTCTGAGGCCGTAGTACGACTTTGTCTTACGTTTAAAGTAATCGAAACGAGACCGCGTTCGGCGTTCTGATTGGTTGGTTCACTGGAGCCGGCCAATCAGAGCCAGTTCTCGTTTCTATTATAATAAACGTAAAACAAACTTGTACTAAGCCCTCAGTACTGTTTATTGGACTATAGTTCATTAGAAACTCACCTATAATCCTGCACGACCTCCTTGTCTCTCATAGGTATGGTGACTCGTTCGGTCGCGTCCCACGCTCGGGTCTCGTTGATAATGTGACCCCCGTTGTCCAGGATCGTCTTTTGTCGCTCAATCTCATGCCGGATAGCGCCTGCCACGCCGCGCACTGATCCAATGTTCTTAATCTAGAACAATAGAAAAATATTTTTTAGTTAAAAGGTATAAGTATAATTTGGCATGCAGTTTTCACGACACGGGAGAGGCTGGTGTGACTTTAGTCTTTGGTCCAATAGAAGTACCTACCTAACACTTCACTCAAGCCATCTCGTGAACGCAAAATTGAAAACCCCTCAATATGAACCATGCCGGTATTCAAACAGCGCATTCACATTCAGAAGTCGGGACATAACGACTAAAACCTCTTCAGAGTCCGATCTACCAAGTATACAAGGGTCCGCAAGAATCCGGATTTTCACTTTAAATTCCTAATTCGATAATTATTCTACTGCCAGTGCAAAGCTGTTACCACAATTTTAATGTCGTCAAACATAAAGAATTTAGCATAAGCCTATAAAATTCAAATCATACCGGCATCATTAATAAATGCCAACATCATTAAGAAAAACTCGTTTCTTAATCGAGAAAGTACAACAAAACTAGTTGTGAAAAACTTGATCATCATTAGCAATCATTGTACAAATACGGACCGGAAAATATGCGTGACTATTTGACGTCATAAGGCGTTTATCTGCTAAGTACATAGTAGGAGCAAAGTCCTTGTGTGAATTGATTGTACCTTTATCTGATGGTCATAAACTTATTTCGGTTGTAAAACACACCTACGAGTACGCAGTTGATAAATATAGGTGTGTAAATAAGAGTAGGTAGCTACTACTCATTATTTGATTTTTATGATGTAACCTCTATTGAAATGGTATTCTAGAAGATTCTTAGATTTGCGTATTTATGATAGAATTCGTGTGATATTGAGAACTTATATTTATTACGTAAACCTGTTAGATTTTTTATCCTTTACGCTGTTACGCCTAAATTGCTAAACCTTTTTTAAATAATTTTGATACAGGTATAAATGCGATTACTGAGATGATTATGTGAAAGAGAGGAATTTATTTATCATAAATAGACATTGTCTTCACCACGTAACATTATTTAGTAATTTATGATATTTTACAAATTTAATTCATGATGGGCCGCTCGCTCCACGCGGAGCCGGTATGGGCGCCTCCCGTCGGGGCCTGGCGTAAATATAATGGACGGACTGGGGGAAAATGCCCAAGAAAAGTCCAACTGTACAGATTTTTGTAGTAAGTTTATATAAATAAATATACTGTAGATATTTACCTCAGTGCGCGTAGAGAGCGGGTCGCCGGGTCGCCTAATCGACACGTTAGCGTCGACTCTGAGGGCGCCCTCTTCCATGCGACCGGTGCAGGCACCGAGTCTTTGCACTATCAGCACCAACTCCTTTACCAGGGCCGCCGCTTCTTCGCCATCCTGGAATTTAAAGAAATAATTCATTAATATAATATTTCGTGTTTCTGTAACAATGTCCTAGGAACACCAAAGGTAATAACGAGTACATTACGCATTGGTAGTTATTGAAAAAAATATAATTAGTTGCCAACTTATATTTCAAAATTAGGAACACATAATTTGAATTACTTATTAGGAAAAAAACTCATATTTGTATATACAAATTTACATAATGATTAGGTATATTCATAAGTAAATTAGAATGAAAATTTAGTTCAATTAGAAATGTTAATTTATTTGAACGAATTAACTATTATTTCCATTGCAAATTTTGTAAACAAAATAAACTTTAAATTTTCATTCTGTTAAAATGTAACGAGGCCAATGTTTGAATGGATTACAAAATTACTAATTTATTCTTCATATACAATTACTAGTTGATTTGCAAATGAGTGTATTCAATCAGAGGTCAATTTGCCACTTAATCATGTTTAAAGTATCCATTATTGCTAAATCCTGACTTTAATTTGAATTAAATTAGGAATAAACTAAATATCAATATATACATTTTAATGTGACATGATATACTCTTATATGTACGAGGTTAAATATTTACAACTTAAAAATAAATAAATATTATATACATATAAGAATTGAAAAAAAAAGAAAAGATATTAATATTAGATATATTGACGTCTACAAGGGTGTAATTACGAAATATTATTGTTTAACTATACAGTATCATTTACTAATTACAATTATAATCTATAATTAATTGGAAAATTATATTCTTATTTATACGAAAACTACACCAAAACTCCAAGAATACAAATACATTTTCACTATCAGAGACAACTAGTTAAGTACTTGTTTACATAGTTCTCAGTTATCTTTCACTATCACATAATTGTTCTCAAAAATTATTGTATTATGTATTTCATTTTTTTTATTTATTAAAGGCTTATGTCATGTGCCAACAATATGATGTCTGTATTTGGTTATAGAAAAACTGATTACCTACTTCTTATCACAAAAAGTAAATAGTATTCCTTTATAATTTTGAAATATGCTTTCATGTTAACCGCTGCTTAGGCAACTGGTGACCTATGTTAGTGGAGGACTTGCCTTCGATAGTTTTCTGTCGGCAGTCAAAGGCTTAATGATAGCAGATTAGGCATGGTATGGTGCAGCATATTCATTATCTAATATTTGTTTGACCTAATGTTTGGCCACCATCTCACCTGGTGGTAGGAAATGATATACCTGATGATGGAACAAGCCCACCTATGAACAACCTGTTCACTCGAAACTTGAAGATACCTAAGTTATATTTGCTATAGGACGAACATTAAACTTTATACTTATCACTACATAGTATAAAACAAAGTCGCTATCCGCAGTCCGTCTGTCCCTATGTATGCTTAGATCTTTAAAACGACGAAACGGGTTTTGATGCGGTTTTTTTTTATAGATAGAGTAATTCTTAAGGACTGTTTATATGTATAATACTTGCATATTGCACCCATGTGAAGCGCGGGTCGCTAGTATAATAATAAAAATTACTAGTTAATAAGTACTTGCCTCCAAATCAGGTTCGAACACCAGTTCTATAAGTGGAGCTCCGGCTCGGTTGAGGTCAATGAGACTCCGTTTGAGTTCCGCATCATGCAATGACTTGCCACTGTCCTGTTCCAACTGTATCTGTTTGATCTTTGAACTCTTTCTATACGGTTTCTTGTGAATTCCTGGCGTAAATACCTGGAATTAAAGAAAGAGGTTGTATAAATATCATGAAAAATGTATGTGTAGGAATTTAACAATTTGTCAAATATATAACAATCATAACTGATAACTGTACTAAGTACAGTTCTAGTTATGTAATGGTTTTTATTGGTATCTACTGAATACTTTTCAAAACAAAACATGTTTTTGAGGTTAGATGTCTTCAAATAATAGTCTACCTGGAAGTTAATAACGCCATCGCTAGCCAATGGATTTCTCTGCTGCGTAATTTGATAGCCGGTCGGTAGATCAGCATAAAAATAGTGCTTTCTGTCAAAAGTCGAGATTTCGTTGACTTTGCAAGATAAAGCTAAAGCAGTCATTATGCCCAGTTCCACACATTTTCTGTTCAGTACTGGCAATGTACCAGGCACAGCCGCATCGAACAGTGACACACAATTATTCACAACACCACCAAAGGTATTCTGAGCACCAGAAAACAGTTTCGATTCTGTATTCAACTGTGCGTGAACTTCTAAACCAACGACACTTTGCCACTTTTCAGAAACAGTAGAATAGCCACGTGCCACTAAACTCTTATGTTCGTAACTTAGTCGACGACATACTTTCATAAATTTCATTTTGATATTCTAATAATTATTCATAATAATCACACAACAACAATATTGTACACTACTCGCCCATGAACAGCTGATTTTGACAGAATAAGCACTTTTTGACAATTACACATTAATGCAGAATGCAGATAACACAAAGTTACAGATCCTTAAAATTTTTACTGTCATAACTATTTCCTAATTTCGCAATCGTAAATGTTTCTTTGTTTGTTCTTATGATTAAATGAAATTAACATAAATTAGCGACGATTGACAAACAATGTAACGTTTTTACACAACCGACAAATACCTGCCTTCTAAACTCTCGAGGCCAAACTCGAGGTTTGAACACTGAGTACTAGTTTAAGAAACAAATAACAGATGGCGCTATACACTACACAACAATGTGAGGCATTGATTTTGTTTTAGTAGAATGTTTCACTGTCGCTTCAAAGGGCAGGCAATTGTTATGAAAGTCATCATAAAACTTCAGTTAATTTAAAAGTGTTAGTTACACAAAAAAATGGCTTACCTTATTAGTATGTGCTTCCTTTCAATTGATCCAGCAGTATTTGATTTAAAAATATTTAAATCGTAAACCTATTTAAATAAATAATACCTAATTCATTACACCTAAATTGCATTGATAATTTGACTTAATAACTTAAACTAACTAAAACACCTAATTTATAGATTTAGAAAATATCACATTTTGGAAAGTAAATTAGAAAACAATATTCATTTTATACAACTAATCCTGCCACCACTTCGAACAGGAAGGAGAAAACATAAAGGACAACAAAGGCCAAAGTGACTTCAGCGATGGAGTACATTTTTATTGATCTTTTTTACAAAAGGTAAAAATGATTTTCGCGGCAAAACGCGGTGAGCGTACGTTCGATAGCGCCTCGTTGCGAGATATGACCGCAAGTCAAAACAAAACTGTGCTATACCCACCAGCCTTGACGTCAGCGATATTACGCGATCGAATTATAATGAAACCACATGCATCGATGGTTGTAGACTGTTCACCATCTTTATTTATCCGTATTATAGCTGACACTCCCGCTATATAGCGGTTTGCAGTCGATGTAATTAAATAATGTACCTAATTAACTAATAGGTCTTTTTTCTAATAGTTATAAGCAACCTAGGAAGTTATATTTCAACCTTTTTATTTTCGTTATATTCCTACCTAATTATTGTTCTCAAACTTAGTTTTAATATATGTAAATATTGGTTCTTTTGCAGTGAATACCTACTAAACTTCTGAAGCTATAAATTGGTACTTATTTTGATGAAACCTTCCCACTATTAATATATTTGTATGCATTCGTTTTATTTTTGTTATCAGTTAAGGTACAACCATAGACTCTGTGGATCTAAAGTCTAAAGAATTCTGACCTCGACCTTTTATTTTTCCTTACTATGTCACTGATTGATGTACTTCTGTATATCGTTAGATAGATTACCTCTTTGGTAATCTTCACTCACCCTGTGTTCTGTACTGTAAGGTAAATAGACACCTACATGAGTATGTCTCCAGTAAGTATGTACGCCCATACAAGTGCGACCTTTGACTTCCTCATACTAACTACTTACTACATAGACTTTGTACCGCGCCATCTATTAATCGAATAAGCAGATTTGTTACGAAGTCATTCACCTAAGAAATATATCATCTATCCACAATAATCGAAATCCTAACTATAAATATGTATGTCGCAGAGAACCTAACGGGTTACGAGGTTCCAGCTCGATATGCAGGAGAAGGAACGTGGTGGTTTTTAGTCAGAGAGTCTGACACTCCCTCCCGCCTCACCTAGACGGGAGCAGTCATTCGATGATTATCCCCCTTAAAAAAAACTATAAATATACTTACATGTAGATATATATTTACCTAGATTCAGTGCTTTGTTTAAGACGCTTAATTAAATTAATGCACGATAAAATCTTTAAATTTGTTCATACAAAAGTAGTCTCTAAACATCTGAAATAAGGTCTATAGCATACCCTGCACCCATAGCGCAATTGAAGTACATAACCGCTAATGCTATACACTACCACATTCTTAGATCACATTGACACCCGTCTTATCAGCTGGTCCTGTACATCATGAAGTTATTTTGGGACTTTCATATTTTACGTAAAATAAGTACATATAGATTTGTAGATACACTCTTATTAGTCACCTAGATATGCCTATTGGGACGCTAAATGACATATTTCACGTTAAATATACGTGTTTGTGTGTGTGTGACCACTGCCCACAGTGACAAAATTATACCGGGACTCGGGAAATGCAAACACACGTAGGTCATTTTCAATCGCTCGCACGCAGCTCAGGATATAAATAATTCACAGCAACTCTACATTAAATGTCTGATTGCTTACCATTAGTTTTGTAAATTGCACACTAATGTACTGACACACATTTTATTTGTAAACCAATTAAATTGGTACTATTTTTGTCGCAAAGAGATCGAGGATATAAATCTAAAGTAAAGATTGTTAGATGCCAATTTGTAATGAATTCTTAGTTTAGTCTTTTTTCATAAAACTGGAAACACATTTAACGATACGCCTTGAAAGAGTTGTTCTAGATGAACAGAAGTAATAGATACACATTGTAATACATTTTTTACCAATTAGAGGTATATTAGGAGTTATATTTATTACTGCCTCGTTGGCCGAGTGGTCCCAAGTGCGAGTGCGACTGCTTAGCAAGGGGTCTCGGGTTCGATTCCCGGGTCGGCCAAATTATTTCTGGATTTTTTCAAAAAATCTCAGTCGCACGGAGTCTGAAATTTTGCGCGGTATATGGCAATTAGCTCACCTCCAAGGGACTACATGGGACATATTACATGGGACTCGTAACATAAATAGTGAAAAGTGGTTGTTAGCAGTGGCATTAAGTGCCGTATTGTACAACTCTGCCTACCCCTTCGGGGACAAAAGGCGTGATGTTATGTATGTATGTATGTATGTTATATTTATTGCCTAATGAGGAATGAATCCATTGCAAATCATCGTGTGTGTAATTTTACATGATGTCATCACATCATACACATGTGTGTGTACGCAACTTTACAATGCATCTACAAATATTCCCAAATCATTCTGAGTACGTATTTCCATTAAAAGAAAACACCAGTCATCGTAAACTTGTAAATATTTGTTGTTTACAAACCGTTATCATTTTGTTTATGAGGTGTGTCAGTAAAAACTTTATCTGCATTATATTATCTTAATCCGAATTTAGGTTTGTATCAACAACTCTCTAATTTCTTTGTAATTAGTACCTACCTACCTACTCACAACCTATATGAGTAATTTCCTGAAAGATTGTGTAATAAGTGAAGAAGGCTTACCTAAGTATTATTTATTCCAATAAGTTCAATTGAGTTAGCTTAGAAATCTTAAATATCTTATAATATGGTATGCTTTATAATAATAACTAGCTTTTACCCGCGGCTTCGCACGCGTCACAATAGGATAAAAAGTAGCCTATGTGACATATATCAATACATACAGCGCCATCTATACCGAATATCAAATTTTTTCGGGATAAAAAGTAGACACCCTATTATTTCGCCATTCGCTCGCGAACTGTCGAACGCGCCGGTCGGGTACTAACAACTTAATTATTCTGTGCGAACTACCCCCTAGCCTCACCAAAAATGACCAAATGTGATATTTGCAACAAGGGAATCACCAACAGATCTCCGGGCCTGGAATGTCAGTCGTGTGCTAAAACAGTCCATGCAAGTAAAGCCTGCTCTGGTCTTACTGCTAAACAGTTGTCAGCCCTTCGCAATGCGGACGGTTTAGACTGGATTTGTGAAGAATGCAATCGAAACTCGCCGAACCGGAAATCATCCTTCTTCGTACCGGAAGAGGAAGACGACGAAGAAGAAGTGGAGAACCCAAGCAACACCGTGGGGAACATAGACAGTGAAAAGTTTCTGAAGGATATCATAGCCGAACTGAAAAAAGTGCTGAAGAAGGAATTGCAACCAATAGAAATATCAGTGGGCTTATGTAGCAAAAGAGTAGAAGAGCTAACTAAAACTGTGGAAGCACAGAACAAACACATACAAGAATTAGAGAGGAAGTACACCCACCTCAAAAATGAAAAAACTCATTTAGAACTTGAAGTTAGTTCATTGAAACAACACGTACGCAGTATAGAGCAGCAAAGGCTCGATAACGTGATTGAAGTAACCGGAGTCCCAAAAACCCAAAATGAAGATCTGGATGAGATCGGCTCCAAGTTGGCCGAAACCCTCAATGTGGATAAATCACATATATTAAATATTAAACGTCTGGAAGGTCGCAATGAACGTGATGGCAACATTCAACTGGAGATGAAGCAAGTGGAATACGCTCAGTCTTGGGTACGTGCGTGCAAAAAGGAAGAGGTACGGCTTGAACAAATTATACCGGCAGCCACTGTAGAAGTCTCAAATTCGAAAATTATCCTACGCCGCGCTCTGACAAAGGCTAACAAATCACTATTATGGCTAGCTCAACAAAAACTGAAGCCAGCCTATAAATATGTCTGGTTTCAGGATGGAAAAGTTCTCCTACGAAAAGAAGATAAAGACAAGCCTATAGTCATAAGATGTGAAACAGATATCACTCGACTTTTGTCAACAACGCAGACCGGAAATAAATGTACGTATCGGTAACAGTTCTAACATAAGTTATCCCAGTTATCCCTCCCGATCACCACGAACTTTTTGATTGTGCAGACATTAATGAGTATAACAAGCTTTTACCGTCAATTTACCAAACTTATTTAAATATTGCTCACATAAATATTAGATCCTTAGTCAAAAATTTTTGTTATGTAATACAATTAATCAATTCATCTAAAATTACTATTGATGTTCTAATCCTAACAGAAGTTAACATAAACGAAAATATTCTTCCTATGTATAACATCAATGGCTATGATTTGCACAGTAAGTTGCGTAAAAATAAAAAAGGTGGTGGAATAATAATTTATGTAAGAGAGGGTCACGTATTTGCACCATCGAATTACTGTACAATGCACTGTGAATGTATTATAGGTCACATAACCACACTTCAAAATTATCAAGCATACATATGTGCAATTTATAGGCCACCGAGTGAAAGTAAGCATCTATTTGTTAAGGAAATAAGCAGTATTGTTTCATCTGTTAAATCATGCGACACTTATATTCTAGGAGACGTAAATATTGATCTGAAAACATATGATAACATTCGAGAATATTACATGAGTAGCATGTCCGAATTTGGTCTAGTGAGCGCGATATCTGACTACACTAGAATTGAAACTCGCGGAAATAACATTACACGTAGCTGTATAGATCACATATTTGCAAGAACGCGCTCGTTGCACCTTTACTCGGCCGCACTCGGTACTGTAATGGCTGATCACCGCATGTTAATACTATCCTGCTTGGGATCGGACCCAATGCGTATACAAGGTGTTACAAAAAAAATTGAGAAAATTGATAATGTCAAAATGAAATCACTATTAAATAACATAAGCTGGAGCGAAAT